GAAATATTTTTTTGAGTGAACGACATTGTGTTCTACACCTAATTCGTTAAATTTGTCTTGATTCAATGAATAGATGAAAAAAAGATCTTGTTTTTTATTATTTTAGAAATTAAAGCCAATTGAATTAGTGAACCTTCATTTTGAACATCCAGCATGTGTATGTGTGCGTATTTACTTGAAAGCAGAGAAAATAATTGTACTTACATATAAAAGTAACTCGTATCCGAACGAGAGAACGGGTTGCACACGGCTTATGCAATGATTTCAATTTTCGACAGGCGTAAGTGCAACGTTTCAGCGACAATCCTTAAATCATAAAGCACTGCAACATAAATAAGACCACTTATATTAGAACACTTGTACGTAATTGTATTAAAAAAGATTTGGCTTTTATACATATGTACGTAAATATGCTTGAAGGTGTGTGTGTATGTGTATATGTGTATGTGTGCGTATTTACTTGAAAGCAGAGAAAATAATTGTACTTACATATAAAGTAACTCGTATCCGAACGAGAGAACGGGTTGCACACGGCTTATGCAATGATTTCAATTTTCAACAGGCGTAAGTGCAACGTTTCAGCGACAATCCTTAAATCATAAAGCACTGCAACATAAATAAGACCACTTATATTAGAACACTTGTACGTAATTGTATTAAAAAAGATTTGGCTTTTATACATATGTACGTAAATATGCTTGAAGGTGTGTGTGTATGTGTATATGTGTATGTGTGCGTATTTACTTGAAAGCAGAGAAAATAATTGTAATTGTGACGAAAGAATTTCACACGTACATGCAAAAAATTTTAGTGTCCGACAAGCGTAGGTTGCAACGAGTTCTAATATCACAGAACACTATACATTTAACCCGTCCAAACGACTAGAGAATTGCAAATATGCATTTTTTAACATTTTGTCGGCAGCAACATTGCGTGCTTGTCGTACGACAGGCACATAAAATCGTACGATTACATGCCACCATTAATCAGGTTTAATAAAGTTTGTAGATATAAAACCGGATTTAATTACGTAAAATGTTTTAACGCTAGTTAATGGTAACGTTTAATCGTAATCTATAATGATCGGACCGGGGAAAAGAACTTACGATACGATTCGGCAACTGTCTCCCGCGTGCTTCAACGTTGCAACGTGCCTGCCTGTGCCGGTATGATCTCGCTTCCCAGCATGCTCCTGAACCAATCAAGACATGATATGGCTGTGTGTTACACATACGTCTGCGCGAGTGTCACTCGCTACCAATCATCGACGTAGTAGCCGCTGTGCGCACACGTAACAAGATGCGTATGCAGTTGTTTCCTCCCGACACTCAGTTTATTACAAATAAATAAATATATAACATCAAAATAATATTTACGAAGCACTTGTTATATAACATGTTACATTCAAGTTATATTGCCATTTACTTTATTATAACCAGTAAGCAACAAAGCAAAATAACAATTCTATAACACAATTACATTATATGTATAAAAAATATTATATAATCACAATATAAATAAAGTGTAACATTTGTTATATGTAATATCTGTTACATGTTATTTCTACGTTATATGGCAGCTATATATTGTGTTTGCTGGGTTAGTTTACTGCGGCCTCCGCGCACACAAACGAGAATCGTATACATGTGATGCGCAAAACACTACGCATCTTTCGATCCATCTCGTGTAGTGTTAAAAAAGGCAAAAAGGCGGTATATTATAAAAATCCACGGATAATTTATTGAATGGTAAGTACGGTTGAATTGGATTCATTTATTATATACTTTTAATAATTGTTACTAATATATCTACTAAACATATCGACTAACAATGACATTACATCAATATTGTAATTTGCCACTCAATAATGTAATTGTTATATACAACATGTATAATGTACTTACATTATTGAGTAATGTTGAGTAAAATTATAATATTGGTGTAATGTTACTGTTAATTGATGTTTACTAAGTATTTTGTAATCCTTTATCTATTCTAAAACTATTCCTCTTGAATTCCTAAAGAATTACAATTCAGGAAAGAAGAAAATTTGAAGAATACTTTGTGAATTCATTGTGCTATCTGGGATGTGGATTACGTTTAGATTTTCTCTTTTGTCGAAAAACAATAGCAATTATTAAATAATTATTAAATGCACAGAATCAGTGTTCTGTACTACTTTCGATACATTTGTAACTGTTTTTTTTTAAATTATAAAATAAGCATATAGGTAGACAATCTAATATATGAAAAACGTGCCGATCTAATTTGTGGAACTGTAGTCGCATTTTACACTTCTAAACGATATACAGTGGCGTGCAAAAGTTTCCGGCCAGTGATATTTTGTAATCTCTAATTTAAAAAAAAAGTCTAATGAAACCTTATTAGGCTTTTTTTATAAATTATAATACAAAATGTCACTGGTCGGAAATTTTTGCACGCCACTGTACTTTCAAATTACACCGTCAACCACAATCAGTTATCCGTTATGCGGTTGACCATAATTTGAACTTACGTCTCCGATAAAGTTGGAGAATTATCACTCCTTGGTAGATCCGATGTAGATTGATTTCAAGTAATTGCGAATACTGTTCCGATTTTTTTATTTTGTCCTTTTTTCTTTTCCACTTTTTTATTATTTTTCTTTATATTTTAAAAAAATATTTTGTAAACATATAAAAGGCATATAAAAAATATAGGTTATTGGTATATAAGTTTTTGGAATATTCAATTTCACATTTTAAATTTAAAAAATGAGACATCTAATTACGTGAAGATTACAGCAACATTCAATTTAGTAAGACAAACTAAAGACAAGTGGCAAGACAAGGTAAGACAATTTTGATTAAAATACTTAGACGTTAAATAAAGCAAGATATAAGAACAAAGTCTATTTTTTTAAATTTTATTTGTAAAGATGTTTTGCTACAAATAAATTTTACAATCAAATTTTTTTTTAATTAGTTACTTTCTACTTCTCATATTTTACTATAACAATCTCACGATGAATCGTACTTACAGCTGGAACAGTAACTGGCATAGTACTAACTGTAATTGCCATGCTAACTGCTTTAATGTATTTTCGTAAATCAGTAAAAAAGAGTGTTTTATTTACTCATGAATAGATTTACTTAATTTTAGAAGAAGTTCAGGTCAGATTCAATATTATAGAGTTTGTATATCTATATTTATTTATACCTTTAATATTTATGTAAATATGTTACATATTTCTTAAAAACTACTGCATACATTAAATATGTATATATACCTATTATTTCTTCTGCATACATTATATATATTATTTCTTATGATAGATTGACCTTGCCAAGAAGCTAACGTTTTGCTCGATGCTTCGGATCTCACAAAATTTCAAACAGACAGTGATAATTTTCCGCATACATAGCAAAATTGTATTATTTTTGTTTCAGGTTGCATTACTAGATTGTATAAATTGTGGGATAATATTTAATTTTTAATATTTATAATAATTGTAATATTTATCTCATAAAAATATTTGTAATAAATCATATTTATTATTTTTACTCGCTGTAAAATCTTCTCTTTTTTTTTATGTATTATAAAAAATAATCTTTTACTTGCAGTTGTATCAATTTCATTATTCATAATTATAGCTGAAAATTATAATAAAAATCAGTTTATATTCGATTAAGTGATTGCAAGTGAAAATACAGTGAATGAGTTCCTTATTATTTTAATATGTTTGTAATTCACAATTCTCGAAAACTTCCCGAAGAGCGGGATTATTTTTAGGTCGTCTGGATTTGATGCGGCAGCGCGTATCTTAATTTATTCCAAAACCAAGGATCTCCCCATTGAATGTACGTGTTCATAGATATGTACGCTTTCAGTTCAGGATCCAAATTATCTGTAGGCCCGATGTCACCATACAAAATCAGTATCACTCGCGTCCGACCTTCGTTTAACGCTTGACGATGAGCAGCCCGAAATTCCATTCTTCCCCAGATGCTTTCCAAAAAATTTGGCGACAGTACAACTATCGTTCGTCTAGAATTCTCCACAGATCTAGCAATATTATCCGGTATCCATTCGCCTGCTAACCAATCTCGATAATGAAGACACAATTTGAACGGTGTCGGGCCACTCTCTAGCTTCGATATCAACTCGTCCACTATCAATTCGTGATCCTTGTGCGAGAAACTCACAAATGCGTCGTACAATTTGTCTTTATCCAATTCCTCTTCCGTTACAAAGGATAAACACCAATGATGCGCATATAGCCATACTTTAATATGTGTTTGGTATTTGAAATACAAACCAAAAATTAAACCAATAATTAAACCAATAAGAGCAATTACTGCACTCATGCTGATAATCACTGTTATGTTAGATGGACAAAAATCGTCCCAGATCATTTTTGATATGGATATACTCTTTCTGTGACATATTATTTTAGACATGTTGATTATTTCAGATTTTGAATAAACAAAATTATAAAAATCTCTAGCTTCACAGTCGCATTTCCACGGATTTTCATGTAACGTCAAATGCATTAAATTGGCAGAGTTTTCCCAAAACTGCAGCACGTCAGAATGTATTTTTGACAATTTATTATTGTGTAGTTCCAGAACCTGAAATATATCAATTTCAAATTTTAATGGTATAATTCAATATTTTTTACTACATAGTTCAAGATTAATATTTTTTATATCAGCCATGTATTGTATATATACATGTATATTTTTCATAGATTTCTATGTATATTAATATGGAAAAAATTAAAAATTAGTTTGTCAAATTTTGATAACCAGATAATTTGCGAATTTTTTGATGTTTTTACAATATAAGATTCTTACAATTTGCATAAACTCTTTTTATATGAATTATTTTGTGGACAAAATACAGTTGCATTGCACACCTTCAATGTTGTCGGTAACTCACTTAAAGAAATATGAGATATAATGTTGTGAGATAAAGAAAGTTCATCAAATGATTTGAGTTCTAATTTCTTCAAGTCTGGCATTTGCGTTAACCGATTATGGGAGAAATTCAAATGTAAATGCAAAATTGCGTCAATCGATTTTGTTAAACTCCAAATCAAGGAAATATCAGGCTCCTTTATATCATCCGGCACATTAGTTAAGTTTTTATAAGAACAGTCATATATGAAAGTTTTATCCCCTGGCCTCATAAAGCAATCGCACCTATCGGAGCATACTGTAATGGAATCTGTGTTTTCTATCCTGCAGGTAAACTTTTTCAGATATTGCTTAGAATCAGATATCAAGTCTTTTATCCGTAATTTTTCCAATTTTTTTGGTCTATGACAAATTAAATTGTCTAATTCCATTTGAAAATAGCTTTGGATGTTATGCATTTCACTTTCGTTATAACGAAGAAAATGATATACGTCACAATCACAATTTAACGGATTATTTTCTACTAATATTTTTACCGTACGATTAGTTTTGCTTTCGACTTTTGTGATATTTTTGGCATCGTGTAAAAAAATATGCTGTATCTTATTATAAGTCAAATCCACTATAATATCGTTCGATGAAAACAGTAAATCTTCTGTCTAAAATTTAAATAAAAATGATTATGAATATATTGTCATATATTTATTATCTTCAAAAACAATTTCGTAAATTTAATATACATAGTGTCCTAAAATTTAAGGATTAAACTTTGTCATATGTTCTATGAATAAAAATGAAAAATGAGAGTTATGTAAATATAAATCTGAAAAAAAATATAGATCTTATTAAAATAATTAAAGATATCAAATATACGGATTCATTGTTAATGTGGGAGTTGAGGCTGTTTGATGGAATAAAATAGTAACACTTGGATGATATCAAACTCACAATATATTTTTGTGATAATGAATACAATTCTCTCTTTACTGTCTCAGATAATAATAAGAACATAAAACAAGGTGTGTTACTCAGATGGCTCAAAAAATGCAAGCTCGATTCTTAGTGCTGCCCTCCATCCTATACCATACTGCCATCTATTAGATAAAACATAAAATAAAAACAATATTCCACAATCCGCCCCCTTGGTTTTATCAATCCATAGTGTTCATAATCTTTTTTATATGTTTAGATAAAGTTGGACCTGTCAGTGGTTTTGTTAGACAATCTGCTGTCATACTATCATTTGGTACATGTCTTACTATAATATTCTCCTTTCTCCCGGTCTCTCGGATGTAGTGGCATCTTCGGTTCATCAGTTTAGATTTAGTTTTGAAATTTCCACCGTTCGCCAATTTAACGGCGTTCAAGTTATCACAATTTAATTCTTTTGATGTTTCTTCCGAAGGTTCAATCTCATGTAACAATCTAGAGCTCCACACTATTTCTTTTAATCCTTCCATCATTGCTTCTAATTCGCTTTCTGTTGAAGACAACGCAACTATGGACTTTTCTTGCTTCTCCAATGTATTAAGTTTCCATTTACATATAATAGTAATCCAGTAAAGGATTTTGCGTCTTCTGTTCTATCCCACGATGCATCAGATTCACATTTTATTTTTGTTGTTGAGTCTTCCCTTTTAAACTCAAGGCAATAATCAATAGTCCCTTTCAAGTATCGAAGAATTCTCTTTAATGCTGTCATGTGCATTTCTTTTGGATTATTGTTGAATTGTGATAAACAACTTAGTGCAAATGATAAATCTGGTCGTGTATGTACACTTAAGTACATAAGTTTTCCTATCAATTCCTGATATGCTTGAATGTCAGCTTTCTTACTTTCCTCACAATTTTCCATCTTTGTGTTTACATCTATCGGCGTCTTCACAGCATTACATTCTCTCATTCCATATAACTCAAGTAGTTCTCAATATAATTTTTCTGGTGTACGTATATTTTTCCTTTTCTTGATTCACTTGCATTCCCAACACAACTTTTCCTTCCCCGAGGTCCTTAATGTCTATGTATTCTTTAATCTTATCTATATAACTTTTCTCAAATTTATCATCGCTTGACACAGTCGACATATCGTCCACATGTATTCCGCAGTATAAGAATCTGTTTTCCCTTTTTGCATAAAACAAGCATGGGTCTTCCTTGGACTGTTTTAATCCACATTTTATTAGAACATCGGTAAGAAATTCATTCCAGCATTTTCCAGCTTGCTTCAATCCATATATACTCTTCTTTAATTTACAGACTTGTTCCTTGTTAACTTGTAGCCCATCTGGTAATTCCATAAATATTTCTTCTTTTAATCTTCCATGTAAAAATGCTGTTTTTACGTCGTAGACCTTCAACCTCCTGTTTTCTTGTGCACTTATACTGAATAACAATCTTATTGTCTCTATTCTCACTACTGGAGCAAACGTTTCCCCATAATCTACCCCTGGACGTTGTCCACATCCCAGTGCGACGAGTCTTGCTTTATACCTTCGTTGCCCTGTATTCGGGTCTTCCTTTATGTCAAACACCCATTTGCATTTGCTGACTCTTTTATTTTTAGGTCTAGGCACAGTATCCCATACTTTATGTTTCTTCATTGATGTCAATTCTTCATTGATAGCTTGTCTCCAACATTTCCAGTTGCTTGATCTTTCTGCTTCTTGAACGTTTTTTGGAATATCCTTATCTGTAATTATCATCGCAGAATGTTGATTTTTTATTCTTTCTGATCTCCTAACATTTTCTTGTTCCCTTTTTCTTTCCTCTTCTTCACGCCTTAGATTTTTTTGTATTTTTATCATAGCTTTTGTAGTTCCTCTTGGTCTTCCTTTAGTCTTTATTTCTGTCGGTCGTACTTGGATTTCATCCACATCCACATCTTCTCTTAGACATTCTTCATTTTCATCTTCTGTATCTTCTGTCTCGCACCTATCATCAAGTTCTTCTGACTCTGCATCTTCATAGTCACTATTTTCAGATTCTGTCCTTTCATTTTCTTCATATTCCTGAATTTGAGCTTGTTCTCCCCTTCTTTCATTGTCTTCTATTTCCATTCCTACAATTGTCAATTTTTCATCTATTATATGTTTTTGCCATTCTTCTTTATTCAATAATTCGTATCCTTTTTTACTCTCATCGAATTTGACGTCACAATCCGTTTTTATTTCCTGTTTCTGGAATATAAACTCTGTAAGTATTATTTGCTGCATATCCTACTATATTCCTTTAATTATCTTGGAATCAAATTTTTTTCTTTGCTCTCCTTTATTCATTAAATATGCCATGCACCCAAATCTTTTCATATGCTTGACATTTGGTTTTCTTCCATTCCACATCTCATAAGGAGTTTTTCCATGCACACTTGATTTGCTCCTGTTCTTGATATGCATTGCCGTACACGTTGCTTCAGCCCAGAAATCCATTGGCATCTTTGAATCCGCCATTATTGCTCTGGTCATTTCTATTATGGACTTGTTTGCCCTTTCTGCTACCCCATTACATTGTGGGGTTCTAGCGGGACTGAATTCATGCTTTATTCCTTTCTTTTTTAACCATTCTGCTAATTCTTTTCCTGTGAATTCTCCTCCATTATCAGATCTGATTGCTTTCAATTTTTGTCCAGACTGGTTTTCCTTCAAAATAATTAAATTTTTTAGTTTTTCCATTGCTTCTCCCTTTTTATTTAATAGTTCAACAAATATTACTCTGGAATAATCATCTATTATCGTAAATATGTATTTTTTACCGCCTCGTGACAAGGGATGTATTGGGCCAATTAAATCCATGTGCCATAGCTCCATAATCTTATTTGTTTTTTTAGTTATCAATCTAGGATGTGCTTTTCGACACATTTTTGCTTCGACGCATGGTTCACACTGCCTCTGCTCTTTGCATTCGTTCATTCCTATCACCAGATTTTCTTTCTTCATCTCCTCAATAAGCCTCCTATTTGCATGTCCAAACCTCTTATGCCAAATATCAATGTCATCCGCTGTTGCAGCTATTTCATTTTATTATTGATGATCTCACATAGTACGCATTTTCTTCTCTCACAGCTGTCATTTTTATTCACCTCCATTCCTGTAGACAATGGCCTCATTTTTATTAAATTCCACACTATATCCATAGTCTGTTATTTTTGCTACAGATAAAAGGTTCATGTTAATATCTGGTACACATAATACGTTTTTGAGTCGTATTTTATCGTCATTTATATGTTGCGTCATTACTATCTCTCCTCGTCCATTAGAAAGTAATTTCTTTCCGTTTTTGTCTGCTAACGAGATATCTCTTCTATCTTTTTCTATATTATCAAACATAACCTCGCTATTTGCCATATGACTTGTCGCGCCAGAGTCTAATAACCACATATAATTTTTATGCATTACCTCTTTATTATCTTGTTTATTGCATGTTGTACTCACATGTACTCTGTCTCTTACGATAACACCGCTTCATCTGTAGTTTTCAATGTAACCTCAGCCCGTCCGAAACCTCGTCCTGTTCCTCTTCCTCTCGATGCACCTCTATAACCTCTTCCTCGCGGTATGTTCCTTTTTGGTTCCTTACAATCTGCCGCAATGTGATTGAGTCCTTGACAGTTAAAACATTTTTGTCTATTCCGGCATTCGCTTGAAATGTGTCCCTTCATTCCGCAATTATAACATACGATATCACCTTTTGATTTTTCTCTCGCTTTCCTTACATACTCATCTCTTGATGTTTTTTCTTCTTTTCGTTTATATCTTCTTGATTCTTCTTGTTTTAGCGCGTAACGTATATCATTAATTGTTATCTCCTTTTGAGTTTCTAATACTCGTACATTTTGGTCAAATTCGGGCCTTAATCCTCTAATGATGTACATCCTCAATTCATAATCTTCTATTACTCTACCAAGTTGTACGCACTGATTTCGTAATGCTTCAGCTCTGTTTATGTATGCGTCTATACTTTCATCCTTTTTCATTCGCAGATTTGATAATTCACATAGTGATCTTGCCTTTAATTGTTCCGTTTCTGCTGCCATATTATTCTTAATCAAGTTCCACAGTTTATCCGCGCTTTTTTCATGGCTATATTTCAACAACTGCGCTTTACTCATAGTGTTTATAATTACTGTTCGTGCTGCGTAATTATCATCGTCCCATTCATTCCATTGCCGGAATTTCACATCATAGTTATTTACGCCTTCTTCGGGCTTCTCTGGCGGCTTCACATTTATTACTTTTTTCCAAAGTTTCTTAGTTCTTAAGATCCCTTCAATTTTTTCGCTCCATAAGAAATAGTTTGTATCATCAAGTTGTTCCACGCTCGTAAGATTCCAATTCTCTGCCATCCTCTTTTTTTTTTTATTTATCACGCAAGTTTCTCAACACACGACAGCCTCAAGAAAGAGGTTAAAAACGAACCACGGTCCTCTGCTACCAATTGTGGGAGTTGAGGCTGTTTGATGGAATAAAATAGTAACACTTGGATGATATCAAACTCACAATATATTTTTGTGATAATGAATACAATTCTCTCTTTACTGTCTCAGATAATAATAAGAACATAAAACAAGGTGTGTTACTCAGATGGCTCAAAAAATGCAAGCTCGATTCTTAGTGCTGCCCTCCATCCTATACCATACTGCCATCTATTAGATAAAACATAAAATAAAAACAATATTCCACAGTTAATTCATTACAATGGTAGAGTAAATCGGCGATGTTTGTCTATAATAAGTTTATTCTAGCCATGTTTATTATTTAAAATTATTCAAGATAATCAGTTTCGATAAATGAACTAATGTGTATCAGTCTTAAAATCAGTTCACTGTATCAGTACATAGTACAATATTATATTAAAATAAAACAAGTATTCTCTAACAAAAAGTACATAAATATGATTTTTGTAAATAGTTTCTGTTATGGAAATTTTCGAATTGTTGCAAAAAAATAACAATGGAGGTTGTCTAATAGAACAGTGCCAACGAAATTCTGTCTTTTCAATGTGACGTGATAATAAAACGTTTCTATGTTTATATAACATTTTTCTCTTATTTCTACTTTTTGATCAAACTGGTGAAATTTAATCGTTTAACTTTAGAACATCCTATATTTAGCATTTTTCAAAGTGCTGTTCCAAATACTTACTTTTATAGAAGATATATTGTTATAGCTAAGATCCAGTATGTGAAGTTTATCGTGGTTAATAATCCCATCTCCAAATATTTTCGAAATGCTATTGTTAGCTAAATATAATTCTTTCAGCCAAGTGCAATTATAGAAAGACGATGACGATCCGGCATAGAAATAATCGGACAACTTAGATTGTAATGTAAGATTATTATGAGACAATTTGATAATCTTCAAATTTTTTAAAAAATTAAAACTATAATCGGAAACAATTTTTAGACGATTTCGTTCCATATTTAGTTCTTCCAACGATTCTAATCCAACAAATAGTTGTCTAAAATATAAAAAAGATTTCTAAATCAACAAAATTATAGAACGTAAATAATTATTAACAATCATATAATAAAAGCAGTTTAAACATACTCGAAAATAGAAGTGATGCGATTATTTGACAAATTCAATTTTCTTAATCGACTAGTATTTAAGAAAATATAATCAGGCAAAACTTCTAGATTATTGGAATTCAATGATAACTTTTTTAACTGTGCCAAATCCTGGAATATTTTTACGGGCAAACTTTGCAGGTAATTGTCGCTCAACATAATCACATTCAGCGAAGATAATCCCCAAAAGAGATCTTCCGGTAATGTGACTAGTCCATTATTTGTCATCTCGAAAGCTTCCAATTTCGTTAAATTCATAAAAAATCCATCCAATAAAGTCAAATCTCCCTGGTTGTAATCACTTAAAGAAATATTAGATATGTTGTTGTAAGATAAAGAAAGTTCATTCACTGATTGCAGTCCCAATTTGTTCAAGTCTGGTATTTGCGTTAACCGATTACGAGAGAAATTCAAATAAAAATACAAGATTGAGTCAATCGATCTTGTTAAACGTTGTATCGAGGAAATATTAGACTTTTTTGTATCATTTGGCACAATTGTTAAATTTCTATTAGAACAGTCAAATGTAAAAGTTTTATCATCAGGCTTCAAAAAGCAATCGCACTTTTCGAAACACACAGTAATGGAATCTGTGTTTTTTATCTTACAGATGAAATTTCTGGAATATACCCGAACTTTTTTCAATTCTTTCGGACTATGACAAGTTAAATTGTCTGATTTTATCTGAAAATGGCTTTGAACCTTAAGCATTTTGCCGTCGTTATAACGTAGAAGATCATACACGTCACAATCACAATTTAATGGATTATTTTCCACTAATATTTTTACTTTACGATAAGTTTTGCTTTCTTTTTTTATGATATTATCGGCATCGTGTAAAAAAATATGCTGTATCTTATTATGAGTCAAATTCACTATGATATCGTCCGATGAAAACAATAAATCTCCTGTCTAAAATTAAAAGAAAAAGGTATTGTCATATATTTATCACCTTCAAAAACAATTTGTTTAATTTAATATAAATGTCAAAATTAAAGGATCAAACTTTGTCTTATGTTCTATGAGTAGAAACAAAATAAAGAAAATTATGTAAACATAGGTCTGAAAATATAGGATTTATTAAAATGATTGAAGATATCAAATGTACAGCGTATTCATTATTAATACATTACGATGTTAAAGTGGGTCGGCCATGTTTAATAAATTTATTCTAGCTATGTTTATTATTTAAAATCATTGAAAATAATCAGTTTCGATGAATGAGCTACTTTGTATCTAAAAATTAGATATCATTGTTTCAGTCTCATTGTATCAGTACACAGTACAATTTTGTATTAAAATGAAACAAGTATTCTCGAACAAACAGTACGCAGATATGATTTTTGTACATGGGTTCTGTAATGGAAATTCTCGAGTTGTTGCAAAACAATATTAATGAGAGGTTGCGTAATAGAACAGTGCTAATAAATTTTTGTTTCTTTAATGTGATGTGATAATAAAACGTTTCTAGACCTATGTTTTGCGACGAGAACTAGCCTCGGAATCACGCCAGATCCGAGGGAGCACGCCCAATGGAAATCGGTACTCGAGGCATCGGCAATAACTGCTCGACTCGGTAACTTACGGTATCAGAAACAGATGCTTAATTCGGTAACTCGCGGTACTCCACGCTCGTCGGGAGCAAGGTAACTCGCGAAATCGGCAATAACTGCACGATTCGGTAACTCGCGGTACTCCACACAATTCGGGAGCAAGGTAACTCACGCGATAACGGTAACCGGAAATGGGCGCCAGGTGCGAATAATCGCACCGCGGTATCGGTAACTTTAATAGTTCTCAAAATTTGCTCGGCCGCTCCCCGCTCAGTATGGCAGGAAGGGCGCAGTTCTTTTACTTAACGTAGATATCTAGAGTGAGAGGCGAACACAAGGACAACTCAATACTTAATAGTTAACAATAATGTATTTCCATAATTTGGCTTACAAGGGTAAAGATGTGCAGCGTTCGGCCTGAGCCGATACGGCGGAGACGGTTCAATGCGGTAGCAGGGCCATTCGCCCAATTACTCGATAACAAGAATAAAGTTAGACAAATACGCGAAATCACGGAGATGCGATCACGATAGTTCACCGCTGATCCGACTCTATCCGGTAAACACGGGACTTATACTCTGATCATTCGATACGGCCGGTGAAGGCCAAATAAACAGACTTTAAGCGACGGGAGCCTAACGGCCGGGACTGAGATGTCGCGGAACGGCTATTTTTCGCGGGCTTCCCATTTCTCGCCGAGACGCGAACTTGGCGGTAATCGCAATCTCGCGGAGAACGATCCCGGATCAAAATCCGCCCGCAGACATTCACGGTACTTCCGGTACGGTGATAACGCGGCAAACGGTAACGGAGCGGTATCGCAAGAAAACGGTAGCAATCGGTTTTTTTTTTTAAAGACGGTAACGGCAGGACGGTACGGTAACTAAACGAACGGTAACGAAACGGCAACGAGAAAAGACTGTCGGCGCTTAATTCCCACAAGACAGAGAGACTGTTACGCGATATCCGGGGCCGGCTGGACATGCGGTAATTGAGCGTAATTGAGCGCTCACGATATCAAACACTACGGTTAATGTGAGAGACACTACATATTAAACGAACTCACGCTACCAGCCATCACCGGACGGAACTCTACGGCTACCCGAGAGGCGGCTTACAACGATTGGACGTCCTGGCGTCTTCGGTGTCGTCGGGCTGAGTCCCTGATGTCGTCCTCGCGCACTTGTGTCACACCGAACAGTGACTCTTCTCGGCTCTGCCTCTAGGTCCTTCCAGATTCGCGTCGCCTTCCTGCGCATCCTGCCGATTTTCCGAAAAGGGGGGCCCCTGAGAACCGCCCACAGTTCATCCAGGGCGCCCCCTTCCGCTCACTGTGGTTTCCTCAAGTCTTTCGGCTGATAACGTGTCGGTAAGTCGATGTTCCCGGAAGAGACTGGTTAGGCTGGCCGGGCCATACTCCGGTCCTTCCGGGTGCAGCATCTTCGGGGTCCTCGAAGCCGTCTGCAGCCGGGCGAGGTCCGCTGCTGCGTGTCTTTGTGTTGCTTTTGACTTTGTGGCTGAAACCAAAGCGGAGTTAGATAGGGCTTGGATGGCGGAGGCGACGGAATCG